AAATCTCTCACTCAGGAAATATTTTTATCTGTTTCTCAGGAATGGCTACATTCAATAAACTGGATGTGACCATCACTCCCAGCCCTAGTGCTAGGGTAGCAGCCCAGAAATAGCAGCTGGGAAGGAGTGGAGTGCCTGGTAGGGAAGGCTGAATGTATCTCTGGGAGGGTGACCAGGTCAATAGATGAATTAAATTCCTCAAAGTTTGGAAATTGAATTGCTTTTGTGAGTAATAACAGGATTGACCTTTTTCCATAACGTGACAGTCCTATTTCTCTTCTTACCGTCTTCATTTTCTATTCATGAGAGTTCTACTGGCTGAATAGAACCAGGACCAGAAGGAAAAAATTGTTCAAGCTCTTTTGGTTTAATTGAAGGTTTTCTCTTTGTCTGTCAGCCTTTCCTTACAGGACAGAGATAAGCTGTTTGGTTAGGAGCTGATCTGACACTGTAAAACCACCCAGGGAGGCACTATTACAGTGTAGTCGACTCCAAACTCTGCTAGAAATACGAAGAAAAACAAATTTTGTGCTTATGTCTGATACAATCTAGATGAAGAGTGTATTTTTGTGCTCCTCTTATAGTTCTCTTGATCAATCATTTCATAGAAATTGACTTTGGACGTTGGAAAATATCTTTTTCCAGGACTTAGACTGAATCATATAATCATCATTATCATCTGCCATTGTTGCCCATCTTGGCAACCACTCAACCTCATTTACCACCAAACTGCTCTTTTTTTGTCTGCTTGTTTCCTAAAGTTTAGGAGTTTGTGGTGACCCTAATTTATGTGTGACAGACAGCAGGTGTTCTCAGTAACTCTTCAGATGTTCAGGACATGTTAAACTCAAGGATCACACTCCAATGCTTTGCATTTCTGTAGTAATTTATGGTGATATTCACATCAATTTCTCTAATTTAGTGTATGAGGTGCAGAATAAGTTAATTGAATGTAGGGTCTTGGCAATACCTTTTTAGCCATGTCAGCAAATCCTGCTGAAATCAGGTTTATTGGCAGGGTGCTCAAGGGACTCCTGAGGAAACATACTCGTGCTGAAGTCCGTCTTCACTAAATATTCCCATTCTGAGAGACAACAAACATCCCATAGCATGGACACAGTTATCCCAGCTACAGGTGACCATAAAAGAGCAGTTCAGCCTCATAAATGAAGCATAAAAAGTTCCATTATCTCACACTGATATGATTGCATATGCTTTGGTGTAGCTGTGTAAACAGGCACGCCCTTCACAGGCACAGGACCTGGGAGAAGCAGCACAGCTCTTTTATCTATAAGTCTTTGCCAAATGAGATACGGCCAGGAATTGGAGCACTTCCTGAATTTAACCAACTCCTCTAATAAAGTGATTTTACAGAAGAGAGCAGGGAAACTGATGCAATTAGGATCTGCACTTTTGGCCACGTGTCCAGAAAAATACGTGAACCAACAGCCAGATGAATGATTTCTATCAATGTAAATTCAGATCACCTATGGATGCTCTTTTCAAACACCACCAGAAAGTGAGTTGTACCTCTGTAGCAAGGTCTGACCTCAACAGAGGTGGCACACAGCTGACCCTGAGCTCTGATGCTCCAGACTGTCCTCTTCTGTGCTGTGCTGCATAGCAGCTTCTTCCCTCCTGTGTCCTTTTCTTTTTTGGCTTTGTTTTCAAATGAACTGTATCTACCTTTGAGACTCCAAGCTATCCAGTGGCACAGGAGGTGATGGGCAGAGAGATTTCTCTGTAAAACTGCTGCCCCTCCTGCCTCTGCCTTGGTAAGAGCAAGGCTGTGTGTGCAACACGTGTTGCTATCAACGTCACTCCTTCTATTCAGCAAACAGAAAGGTAACACACCTTTCAAAAGTATGCAGTAAGCCTGTCCCTCTTCCTCTGATTATCAGATGCACTCTTTAACGGAGAGCATGCTCTCCGTTCCCAGCTGCTCAGCTGTGGCTCACTTTTTTATGTTGTTGTTTGGGGTTATTTCTCCTGCTTTGAGTTAAATTGAGAATGAGGTTTCATGAGATGTCTGCAGCTCTGGCCTGCTCCTAACTATTCACCACACATTCCCATCAACATCCTGGTTGCCAGCTCTTAAGCTTGTTGGACATCTCAGCAATCCTCTTCACCTTTCTAAGCAGCTGGGTTAGTTCTCTGCTGGCTTGGAGGGCAAGGCATCGAGAAAGCACTGGCAGCAGCAAAAGCATGCTGCCAGGAGCAGGGAAGGGAGGATGGGAGCAGGTTGTCCCTTTGGGCACAGCAGTTACAGCCACAAGCTAATGCCAAATAGCAGTGGTTGCACTCCACCACTGCTCCCAGCTGCGTTTCTTGCCCTTTCTCTTGCACTGGATCTAGCAATGGAGCGGCTTCAGGGTGAGTTGGTCCAGCTGGCTGATATGGCTAAAAACTCCTCATTTTTATGGCATGGTTGTTTTGCCCCTGATGTCAGCCAGATGAACAGATTCTCCCTGTGGCTGCACAGCCACTAAAATATGCAACATAAGGAAAGCAGTGCAAATAGGAAGCAGAGAGAAACCAGCTTGTACACAGCCCAGCTGCAATACCAAACTGCAGCCTAAAGAGCAGCCACACCTATCCTGCCATCCTGCTGTTCCTGCCAGAGTCAGATCACTCGATAGTTTGCTTCCCTACCTGTGCTATTCTGCTCTAATGAACATCTTTTCAGTACAGGAAGTGTATTGTTATCTCCCTTGTTCGGTGTGAGTAGGACTGCACTCCAGCAGGCAATTTCAACCTCTTCTGATTTGTGGACTGCTAGTGGAGAGGCTGGCAGGACTAAATCTATTGACTTCCATACCTTTGTGGCTTTTGTGGACCTTGGAAGTTACTCACAGTGGCAACAACTATAGACTGAAATGTACTGCACAGCAGAGCTGCTGAGAATCATATAGGACTCACCACACTGGCAATAGTCTTTTGACATCTTTTTCTCCTCTCATTTCTTTTTATTTCTTACTGAGGATAATAAAATCAGAGCAGATTATAGGGAGTGAGTCTAGTGAACAAAAATGGAAACTTTGAGCAAAAATGTTTGCAGTTCAGTTACCTAATGGACAGCACAGAACAAACCATTGAACCAGGACTTCCCATTCTCTGTCTGCGAGTAGGCTGTCTTTTTGGGAGATAAGCAGTAACATCCTTAGTAGTGCAAGATCCTTTTTTGTAAGCCAGAGTCACAGAGCTGCATTTGTGTAGGGGCTGCACTGGTTAACTGTGCCTTCTCTTGGCTTACAGAAGCTCCTTTTGGAAAAGCTGTGGCTCCTTTCTCCATCATTCCAGAAGGCTGTATTTTGGTACGAGAGAATTTCAGTGGCAATACCGGCTTGCAGTGAAATGCAGCCTCCTTCCTTTTATACCTCTTCTCCCTCTCTCTGTCCTGGCTTTATTCCCAGCCCTGATTCACAGCCCAGCCCTGTAAACTGAGTGCGTACAATTGTCAGGGTGAAAGGCTGCAAGGAGAGGAGTGAGAATGAGGGAGATGGCAAAAGAAACGGCAGGCGGGATCTGCTTAAGCTGCCAAACCCTTACTTTTCACCAATCCAGACTTCAACACTGTCATGTTTAGTACATCCATTGTCTGGCCCAGCCCCTTTAGCTAAAATTGTATGTATTTACACACCTTCTGGTCCCAATCTTGCTGGTGACTGAGAGGAATTGCTGCTGAAGACATCATATGTTTTTCTCTTAAATACAGAGATACATGAATAATTTTCCTTTCACATGCTTTGCTACAAGATAATGAAACTTTTGAATGAAGAGGGGAACATCATATTAACATATAACTTAAAGTGATAATGGAGTCATCCACTGGGGACCTCATCATGTATCTTGTTGAGTGGGGTCTGGGACGGCTGGCATGTGTGGGAAAAACAGGGCAATAGTTCTCAAAGGAAAAGCTTAACCAAGGTAAGTACATTTCATCAGCTAAATTCTTGAACAATATTCCCAGGAGAGAAGTATCTGAATGACTGATTCAGTGCTGATGTGCTCCTACTCACCAGTCCTAAAGCAGCAGAGGTTAACAACACCCACCATATCAGCACTGGCCCCCGAGATAAAACACTATCTTGATGAAAGGAGCAATTCTCTGGCATCCTTCTGCCTGCAGAATCTATATAAGCTGTGCTGCACTCAAGGAGCCTTAGCAGTGCAATTATGTGAGTTAAAAGCTGGGTCTTTTGCTGATAAAAGTCCTCATTTAGGTGTAGCTATACACACATAGGCAGGAGGAGTGTGTCTTTAACCTGAGATACAGCAAAAAACCATATCTCTAGTAGAGACAAGCCCTTAGGATCAAAAGTACATGAATATCTCATGGTGTTGATTTTATTACAGGCCTCTGCAGAGTGCCCATCACTGTAATTCTTGAGTAGCCTTTAAACAACAACAAAACAGTGGTATTTTCCAGCTAGAGAACAGGCTCTAATATCAGGAGCATCAACTGATATTTCTTTCGAGATCAAACCTGGGGAAGGAAATTCCTTGCTGGATGGAGTCCCAGGCATCACTTGGTAGTGTGCCCATAACCTGTTATCCATGAGATAGCTGGTTCTTGCTAATCCTCTCTATCCAAAAAGAGGGCAGTAGCAATCTTTGAGGGTTGAGCCTTATCACTGTGGTGTGAAATGCCACTTGCAGGGTAGTGACTACTTGTTCCAAGCCCCCTCACTACATTTTGGGTGTAAAAATGTAATTATCTCACTGTTGATTACTTTAAGAGAATAGTCCAGTCCCCTGGCTTAAGTGGTCATGTCAGGAAGGGGCTGGTCCTGATTAGGACTCCCAAATCCCACAGAAATAAGTAAGAGTATCTAATATGATGTGGTTTGATGAGAATAATATTTACTTAGAGGCAAATAATCTAATGCAAAACAAAATATCTAACAATTTTCATCTTTCTAACTGTCATCTAAGAAACAGGACAAAAGTCCTTCAGAAGGGTTGGAAAGTCAAGAAGATCCAAAGAAGAAAAATTGTTATAATCACATGTGAAAAAAACAAGATGTTAGCTTTGGGATCACATTCATTGCAAAGGGGTCCAAATTTTCAGTTAGTTTTATTTTTTGAAAAAGCTTGTATTCCTCAACTTGTAAAATATATTAGAGGGGAAAAAGAAAGTGTTTAGAAAGGAAGTATTTTTTTTTCCCCTGCAGTGACACAGCACAAGATGTTCCCTTATAATGTGTTGCAGGTGTTGATTTGATGATTCCTTCTGACACCTCAAAGATCCAAGACTACAAAGAAGTAGTGAAAGGATTAAATAAATCTCTTGGTCACCGTGGAAAATCATAGCCAGAGTCAGAACACCAGGAGCCTGAGGTTTCCATGGCTGTTGTACAAGACAGCTTCATCTTGTCATCTGTCTAGGACTGCAGGACTGTTTTTTCTCTTCTTTAATCAAATGGGCTCATGGCCAACAGTTTGCCAGTCTCACTTCTGGAAGCGCAGAAGCCACTTGGTTGTCACAAATCCTCAGACAAAGGTAGAGAAAAGCTTTGCAAAAAGTTTCAGCTGTCCCTATTTAGAATGGAGGCTGCTCAATATCTAAAGAACTGAACTCTTATTTGTAAAGGGATATAGTAAAATCTTAAATAATCTGCAGACTGTTAGAGGCACTGGCTGAGAAGTTATTGAATGTTCAAGGATTTCCAGTATCCTGTTTCCTAGGTGCCATTAAAAAAACCACACTTTAATTCCACAGCAGCTCATCTCCCCCTGTGATATCATTATGTGTACATGGCTGGACATGAAAAATGTGCCAGCTCTTACCTGACACCATATTGCTACACACTGCAGCATGTAAATTAGTCTCTGTGTGTTGACACAAGTCACCTTTCTTCAACGTCACTTTATTTAAACAAGCATACACTCTGTGTTTGCATGTGTATCTGTGGGTGGAAGAAACCACCTCCCCAGCCAGGTCCTTTTCCTGCTCACACTGTGAGCCCATGGCACAGTGAACAGCCAGGAGCCCTGGCAAGGTGGGGGAGCCCGAGGGGGTTTCCAGAGAGCCGTCAGGGAGGCAGGGAAGGATAGACACTGGTGCTGCTCCCTGGCTCCCTCCCCAAGCTTTCTGTGCCTGAAGACTGCTTGCTTTCATTTCTGCGTGTCTCTGATTTCCACATGGATCAAACATCCCTGCTTGGGAGCTGGGTGCAGCCAGTGCTCAGAGACATGGCAAGCCCATCCCATGGTGTGCATGTTTCCATCCCAAGGGCTTTGGCTGATGCCAAATCATTCCTCACATTGCCTGGCTGTCCTGTCACCTCTGCTAACAGCCGTGTTTGGCAGCCGACCATTTCCTCGCAGACTGGTGAGCTCACGGCTGCTCCAAACCCGTGTCACAGGAGATTGCACGTCCCTTGGAACAGACTGCTCCACACCCACACTACAAAGGCCTATCTGCACTACAAACCAAACCACCCTGCCTACAACATTGCAGCCACTTTGCACTGTTTAGTCCTGTCGGGGATGCAGAAGGGAGCTGGAGGCTCTGCGAGGCAGGAGGGTGCTGTCCCTCAGCCTGCCTGGTCCCCACTACAGGCTCTGCCAAGCCATGGCTCAGCCCAACAGGAGCAACCACTACAGCAAACTGGGAACTCATGAGATTCTTTTTCTGAAACCTTCCTTCTTTTTATTTTGTGTAGCTGTTGCTTCCTGGACTCATATTGTTTGAGCTTAGTTGGTTTCAGGAAATGGAATTGGATGTGCCACTGGTAATGTCATCAGATGGCAGGCCAGCAACTGCAGGGAAGGGGAAAAGCACAGCCAGGCTCACCTTTTTGCTCTGCCACTCACTGACTTTCACATAATTGTGGGCAAGTTCCTCAGCCTTCCCATTTTATAGTAAAGCAGACATATGCCTGGAAGATTTTTCAAAATCCTCAGCAGAAGCAAGTCCACAGAGTGAAATGTGGTGATCACTCCTGAATGTTTATTGTTCAAATTTTGGAAAACAAACAAACAAACAAAAAGACTTTACTACAACATCCACAATTTCAGGGCTGTCCTTAATAGAGACCCAGCCAAAATCACCTCTCCAGTACTGTGAGGGTGCACAGTGCTAACACAGTTTCACAGTCATTCACTTCTATCTATTCATTCTAGATTATTAAATCCCATTTCCTTCAACAGTTTCCTTTCCTGCTTTTATGGGAAATTTTGGCCTGGTCAGTGTTTTTTAAATATATATGGCCAAATCCAGTTGAGTATGAAAATGGGTTTTGTATATTGGGTAATATATGATGAACTCACCCCATGCAAGAGCTCAGTTTGTAAGTGTGTGTGAACAACACCCAGCAGAGCTGCCTAAAGGAAGGTTTGCTGCTCTGCTGTCACTAGGTAGGGATCACTAATAGCACATAGTCAATGTGAGGTAAAAATCAGTCAATTTTGCAAATCCAGGTAAGATTACCTTTCTGTTAACAAACCATGCAAAATTACTCAGTTTGTCTAACCTTGAATTCCTCCTGGTTTCTGGGGAGATTATGTCCCAAATTCCTTGAACCATATAATGATTGCTATTGTATTTTATTTTGGTTGTGTGAACGTGAAGTAGGGCGGACTTGTAATACACCAGGGACTGAGTGGAGCAGCAGCTGTTACACTTTCAAAGAGCATTACTGAGCTTTTTATAGTTGGCTGCAGTTGACATCACGGCTAAATAGAGTCTTGCTCTAAAATATATTCCACCCAGCCTATGCAACGTGAAATCTGTGCATTGCTGGGAGGAGAGAGGGTCACAGGAAGCAATGCAATACCAGCAGAGAAACAAAAGCCTGGGGATGTGTTTGCTTGTTTTTCCTGCATCCATTACAAATGTCCTTGAATATTTTTTTTCCAGGAAGAGCAGAAACCTCTGGAGAAGAATGACAGAGTGAAATCTCTCATCTCAGGATTGGCAATCAAATCTGGCCCAGGTCAACAGTGACCAAGAGCTGTAGTACCTCACTGTAGGTAGCTCTCTTAGTGCCTCCTGAATGACTGTCCACACCAAAAGAGGCCAAATGCTTTTACACTGTTATCACTGGTGCCACCAGGATGCTGCTGGGACCTGGGTAAAAGCTACTGTGCAGTAAAACTCATTTTACTGCATGAGAGGAGCATCACACACCCAGCCCACTTCCTGGACTGGACCAGCAGCTTCCAAAGCTGTTGGGAGAGAGCTTTGCACTGTACTCATTTCAAGAAAACAACGAAGCTGAGTTAGTTGAAACAAAGCTGAAGCTTATCCAGGACTCGAGTCTAGCCCCCAAAATGTCTAAATCCACACTGTCTTTGTGTGTGTGTCAGTATCTCTACTATTCCATAGCTGGACATACCTCATGTGAATGGCCTGGGTTTCCTGACGTACTTTCACAGCTTTACATGCACTGCACCTCCACTCTGTCTGTGACTGAGGACTCTGGTTTTCAGGTACAGTTTCTTCTGGGATCCTAAATGACCTTATGGGGAAATGTCAGTATCTTACTCTTTGCCTGACTTCTATTTCATCTTACAGAGACTTACAGCAAGAAGGGGCCAAGCCAGGGATACCTAGCCTACCTTCACCAGGAAAGACTGCAAAAGGAGGAGATGGTGTGTCACCAGTTTGTGAGCCTTCCCTGGGTGTTGGTTAGATGGCCTGCCAAAAACGTCACAGGTGAGATGTATTGGCACAAGCCCTTTCACAATCTGACACTGTTTGCTGTTTATAGGGTGTGATGGCACAATCCCCCCTGAAAACTGCACAGACACAAGCCTCCTTTCTGCTGCAAGATGCATTACCCTTGTAGCCAAATGAATCAGCATGTACCCAGTGCAGCAGCCAGGACTGACCAGCACTGTCTTCCCCTTCCAAAATGTCAAATGAATTTCTGCTTCAGCATATGACACCAGCAACCACACAAGTCTCCCAACCTCAAGGTTGTTGCTGTCCTCTTTATGTTATGCTCCCCTTCCTATTCATATCAATGTTCAATGATCAACTCCCAAATGGCCCAAACTCCACTCAGAGTAAAAAAAAAAAGCCATTATCTAAATTATGGCTATTCTGCAAGTGCTCCAAAGAGCATTTCATCACCCTTTTTTTCACAATTCATGATTTTTACATGCCTACATGGAGAAAACCAGCAACCTGGACTCACAGAGCTGAAGAGGATTTTGTAGGAGTGGCTCTCCTTTTGTTGTGGAAAAAAAATTAAGTATTTACTTTTGTATGATATGGTCAATGGTTTCTCCAGCTGTTGAAAACATAGGCCAGAGTTTGAGAAGTGACCCTGGGAAGTGTGGACAGGGAAAGAATTCAGTGAGACCTGGAATGAATGACCTGGTCTTTTGAAGCTCTTTGTGCCTACACATTTTACATAGTCCTAAGTAAAATTCCCACCTGAAAGCAGCTTTTGCACTTTGGTTAGACAACGGAATCTGGCAAAGCTGCACTGCTTCAAGATTAGATAAAGGCCTGGAGAGTAGGAAGCAGGAGTTCCAATCCAGCTTTGGAACAGGCATCTTCTAGGAACAACCCTGTGTATCTCTGCCAGTGTGCCATGCACCTCCTCTTCAGCAGTGGGGTCACAGGCGAGTTACATTGGCATTTGATGGGTATGTTTGGACAGCCCAGACTTGGTTATACACTGTTAATGTCAACTTGCTGCTGTGGAAATCTGAAATGCAAAGACTTATTTGGAATAAGGGAGGTTAGGTCGGGTAGATGATGAAAGAGTGCAATATTTCAGGGAGGATTTGCTTGGTTGGACACCTGCATGGCTCTTAGGAATTATCCTGGTCCCTATAGGACCAGGAGTCCTATAGGAGGAGCAGGATATCTCCTGTATCAGCAGGAGTCTGCTCCATGCAGCCAGAGGAAAGATCTGCATCTCTTCATTTGGCTGAAGAGATGCAAAATCAAGCTTGGCGGGCAGGTAGGATCAGTCCTCGGTTTGTTACGATTTTTAGTGGCAGCAGGTTCCCTGTTAATCCTGGACTGCTTTGTACATGCCAGGACTCTTGCTGCCTTAGTTGATAAAAATACAAAACACAGAGAAAGGAGAGCTCAACCAAGAGAGATTAATAAAAGAAAATTCCTTATCTTCTCACTTCTGCCTTTATCCTGGCAAAATCTGAGAGAAATACAATGTTTTTGAAAAGCTAGAAAATCATGAACACTGCTATGCTGGCGATGTAAAGCACCCAGGTGATGCTGTGATTGATGTGACATCCTGCCCAGCTGCACAATTTCCAGCCACTGTCATAAATATTTTGTCTTTAGCCATATTTCAGGCATTGTCAGTGAGTGACAAAAGAGGCCAGCAGCAGTGGAACTGAAAATAGAAACCTACACTGTGATGCTGCTGCACCCTTTTTTGATCACTCAGATCTGCAGCAAACTCTCAGCATTGCTTTAAACCTTCTCTTACCTCAAATACCTTAAGTAAGCGGTATCCCAGCTGCAAAGATGTGACTGCAAAAGAGGAAAAACATGGTCTTGTAAAAATATGGGGAATGGCTAAGATGACAGTAGGGAGCTGCTGAGATCAACCCAGCCCAGAGTCACTCTCCATCTTGGATTGCAGTTGTCCCATCTGGAGTAATAAATGTATTTGCTCTTTGCCATGTGTCCAGCAGCATGGAGAACCTTCCAGGGGCTAGGGAAGAAAAGCTGTCAAGGAGAAAAGTCTCAAATCCCCCAAGTAACATGTAAAACAAACTTGATATGCAAAAGAGAGGGGTAAGAATCAAGGGGACTAAAAGATAATGGAGAAAGAGATAAAAGTACTAATAAAAGGAAGGAGAGGAAGACCTTTAGTCATCAAAGGAGAGGATCGGATTAAGGAGGTGATAAGGGTGTGGCCTTGGCAAACAGACAAAGTCAAATAGAAAAATAACCCTGCCAGAAATAAAAGCAGAGGAGTTGAGCTTGAATAAAAGAGGAAGATAAACAGCTGTCAAGTAAAATGGGAGTGAGAGAATGAGCAGGGCAGCCCAGGGGAGCAGTGGTGCAGGCTGGAGGCTGGGATGTGCCTCAGAGAGAGCCTTTGCCAGAGGAGTGAGTCAAAAACCAGGATGCTATTGGACTACTTATCTGGGATGGGTAAGGCAGGGGGACGGGATAGTGGGGGAGGAGGATGGAGACACTGTTCTGTGCAAATGCGTGGAGCTTCTGTGTGAGTCAGGCACCAGAAAACTGTGCTGTGGGCTTAAAAGTCAAGATAACCCACAGAAATAATGCCTACTGAGTGTGTTGTGTGGCACTTCTTTTTAATTTGATTTTAAATAGCGAAGAAATATGAGTCAATTCATGCACAGAAGAGAATGACTTCATCAAATGGCATAGTAACCACTGCTCTTCCCAGCTATGATCATGTGGTACTGCTGATTTAATGATCAACTGCAAAATCCCAGCTCAGGTGAAACTTCCCACGTTCTGTGCTCATGTTAAACCTGAAAATCTTCCAAACTTTATAGAGGCTTTAAAACCTTTGAAATTAAAGAGCCCAGAAAAAAATGCAAGAACAAAACCAAAATGGTTTTGTCGTAAATGTTATGATACATAAGACTAAAAGTCCCTCATCTCCAAAACTACTCAGAAAAGAAGGTGGGAAACATTTGGAATGAATGATTAGACTGGAGCCAGAGCACTGACCTTGGCACATGCCTGAGAAGAAGCAGGGAAGCAGAGGGAAGCCAGGTGGAGGATTCGCCACGCAGTACCACTCAGAAAGGGAAAACTTGGTGGATTTTAATAGCACCAAGGTAGTGCAAAGAAAGACTGTGGGTCCATGTTCATATTGTAACAGGCATCCAACCACATTGGGGCAGTTCTGGTTCTATGTATTGTCTGCTGGTTTTGAACCATCGAAGCAAAACTTGCTTCACATTTGGATCCTTTTCTCAATAACTGTGAGACACAAGCTGTAACAAACAAACAAAAATAATAACACTTACATAAAAATCCATCAATTTCAGCAGCTCATGCTCTCAGATAGCAAACACTGCAAGACAGAAACAGAGAATCTTGTGACTCATTTATTAAGTTGGAGTAGAAGGAAGAGCTTACCACATGCAGGGGATGATGATAAGGGTTTAAGAGCCTGCCAAGAAAAGGTAGAAAACAATGCCCTAACACTGCTTACTAAAGCTAAGGAGCCTGAAAAGGGAAGAGAGGGGACTGTTTTCTTGCTGTTATCCAGTGCTGTTAGAGAAGGATGAGGCTTCTATGCAATCCATCACCCTGCCTTCCCCTGCCTGCCCTACTCTGTGTGTATATTCTGGCTGCACCCTGGCAGGCTGCCTCTCCCAAGTAGGTACTGAATGAAAAGGAAGAAAACATGGTCCTGTCTTTTTCTTAGCTCTTGTGTTCTTATCTTTTTCCTTCTTTCTTTTTTTGTTCATCTGCAGATATGTTCCTTTGCTTTCACAGCAAATTAATTAAACATTATTGTGAGTTTGGATAACGCAGTTATTTTGTACCCACAATCATCTGCACCAACAGTTCTCAGCAAATCCTCATTAAGGAAAATATCTTTAAGAGTTGGGTATGACCTTGTTCAGAGCATGTGATTAAGCAAAGCAATACAGTAAATTCTATTAAATAGAAGCTTTAGGTTCTCTCACAATAGCACATGCTAGAAAATCAGAGGGCACAGAGAGAAATTGCAATAACCATTTGTTTAAGCCTAGGGTTTGCTGCCACAGAAAACTTGGTGGGACTGCCCTCTCACTGAAGAAGCACCAGCAAGGGTCAGGTACATGTACTCTGCCATTCTTGGGAAGTCTCAAAACCCAAAGGCAAACTGAGGTTTAAGTATATTTAAATTCAACACTAAACATCCTCCGCTCTTTCAACCAGCCCCTCCCATCTCCAGGTAGCTTCCTCCCTATTGCTCTTTCCCTCTTCCCACCCCCACCATTTGCTCTTATCTCCATCCCACTCTCAAATCCTGAATCTTCCTCTCCCTCGGATGGTAGGGAGACAGCTTCCAGCCATCAGGCATACTCTGCTCTTGACCTGTTGCTGTGTCTGGGTCCTCTCTGAACCTGGGCATCTTGCCCCAAATCTGTTCCTGTTGGGATTTAGCAAATACAGCCCCTTGATCTTTTCATATGCATTTGCTGGGTTTTTACGCCTCCCCGCTGCCCCCACGGCTTCCTTCAAGGCTCTCTGTGTGTCTGAAGCTCTTATCAACTCCTCGGAGCAGAATACACGAATGGCACCACCAGGTCTTGAAGTCACGTCTCACACCTCTCAGGAAATGGCTCACCCCACCAAGTCACATCCCCCTCCTAAGCACAGGGCTAAAGTCACAAGATACTATTAGTTCCTCATGGCCAAAATCAAGGAGACATAGTGGCTGAATTTTCAAAGGAAAATAGATTGTGCATATATAGAGGCAATCAGGTCTGAGCCAAGCAAGGCAGGCATCTTTCAGAGAGAACATAACCTCTTGTCACAGTGCATTTATTTTAACCCTCTATCTGTGCACGGAGCTGCTGGGCAAGCCTGGTGATCTGAAATAAGCTGTGTTGGGGATTGATGTCACTAGGCTTTGACATCATTCTGACATCCCCCCAAAGCCATGGGCTTCATCACACCGGAGATATGCCCAAAGTACTTTCTGTACCCCTATAAGTACAAAAGCACTGACAGGGGTTCAGCCCAGCCCCTTGGTCACAGGTCGCACTCAGGACACTGTGACAGCACCATCTCCCTTTTACTCCCCAGCACCCAAGCTAGGGAGTCCCAGTCCCCCCACTGGGACAGCCTGGAGCATAGCCAAGTCCCATTTCTACCTTGCAGTGAGACACTGGCTGTATGCACCTCACTGTGTCCCAGCTGGGGGTGAACACATTCCCTGGTGCCGACTAAAAAGGCAAACCCCCTCTTTCCTGTAGAGGACTCTGGCAAAGAAGGGCTCTCAGGGACACAGCTGAATATTCACAATGGACAGGCACCTTAGGCCTTTTGAGAATATATTTCAAGGCATCTGCAAACCACGCCAGAGTGAGGACTATACACAGCCCACCCTGCTCAAGCTCTTCCTTGTTAAAGCTGTGAGGACTAGAAAAATGACAAGTCTAAATTAACAACATGACATCATTATAAGATCTCGGAACTCTACCTAAAAGCCTGGATGGGCCTCAATATATAGATCTTGTGTCTGTACATTGGGAAGACCTGATAAACCTCTAAAAGCATTTGGAGGTTGTTAAGAGCTTTGTCACAATGACCAGAAGCAATCAAAGAGAAATTAAGTATGCATATAAAGATTTCCTCTTAGGCAGAATGAAAAAACCTCAAAACCTAAGCCTAGCATGCATTAACAATTTTTGCTATCAGGGCCCTGCTAGAGAAGCTGTAAATTATATAGTATTTTCCTGCCAGCAGAAACTCTGGAGAAAATGTAGTTATATAAGAAACCATAAAATTGTGTCTGGACTACAATTAATTTACTTTGTGAGATAATTATCCAGGGATTGCTTCTTCAGGGACAAGCTTTCTAGGGATAGCTTAAACTTATGTCTTACCAGCAAAAATGTGGTTTTATTTTTTCTTAAGCTTTCTCTAAATTAATGAAATCAGATTTGTGTGACCACTGTCCCTTCTTTTGGTCAGTCTCCTAATACATGGAGATGGACTTTTTATAAGGGCATGTCATGATAGGACAAGGGTAAATGGCTTCAAACTGAGAGTAGGTTTAGATTAGATATTAGGAAGAAATTCTTTACTGTGAGGGTGGTGAGGCACTGGCACAGGGAAGAGCTGGATGCCCCATACCTGGAAATGTTCAGGGTCATGTTGGATGGGGCTCTGAGCAATCTGGTCTGGTGGAAGGTGACCCTGCTTATGGCTGTGGGGCTGGAACTGGATGATCTTTAAGGTCCCTCCCAACTTAAACCTTTCTATGATTCTGTGGTAAGATTTGAACCTTTTGGCCAATTAAAATTAAAACTGATGTAGAAATTGAGATCGCCAAGATACCAAATCTTTGCAAATTTAGTCAGGTTGACAAGAGACTGCTAAATCTCCACTACTAAAAACCTGAACCTTGGGTTTAGTGACCAGAAAATTCATGTTGAAGACAGCCACCAAAATGAAAAAAACAATAAAGCTTGCTGGAATGACAAAAGACTGTGCACAGTCTGTGTCCTTGTAGAGTCCTAGAAGGAACAGGGTGATGTGACATCTGACAAGCCAGAGGAGTTTGAACACAGCCAAGGCTGTACAGCTGGTTACAAATCACTGCATGGCAAAACCCCTGGTGTCCCATTCCCTCCAGGACTGAGCAGCAGAATTTCTCATGTGTTAGTTATTTAAAGGGGTGTGTTTGTCTTGTCAGCAAAGCCATGACTGTGTGTCACACTGCTACCTACTCTTGCCATGCATTCTGGGATGCTTCCCAAGCTCCAGTTCCTCAAGTTACATAAGGCAGGATCTTAAGCTGCACATTTAAAAGATGACTCTGTAGCCCCAAGAGCCTGAGAGAACCTCCCCAGCTTGACAAGCAAAAAGCTGAAGAGCCAGCTAGCTCGAAGACTCACCACAGGGCCTATCTCCCACTATCTTAGTGTTTCACAGCCTGTCTTACCCTTGCTGGATGCTCAGAGCTGGCAGCAGTGATGTGAGAGTGTGTTCTCCAGCTGAAGCTTAAAACTGTTTTACTGCAGATACAGGCACATTTTGTATTGTGACTCCTCTAGGCACAGATTCCTCAGTGTTGAAGTACTCCCAGCACAGACAAAAGCACAAGAAGTTTCTCTCCTGACAAATAAAGTGAAGATCAATGTAAACAGCTTCTGAAGCAGCCTGTAATTTTTGATATCAACACAAGGCAGTCTGCTTTTCCCTTAGAGATAGCTCTTTCAGTTTTAGCCATCTTAATTTCAAAAAGCAAGCCACTTCTGGACTTCTGCTTCTTGAGGGAAGACATAAAATCCACCTTTGTGCCTTGGTGGCACAAATAAAAGCAAGTCTGCAAAACAGGAAGGGACAAAATTGAATGTCTTCTAAATGCTTCCAGCCCTTACCTGAGTATGACTTCATGCAAATGCTGGCACCTACAAGGCATCAGAAACTTCCATGTCAGACTGCAAGGCGCACAAGAGGATGGAAAACTACTTGTCAGGCAAAGGAAACTCCGCTAATCCAGACACAGCACTTTTTCCTTGCTGCAGGAGGCACACTGCACTACCCCACAGGCACAGCTTTTAGGATATCAGTGGGATATCCTTTTGCAAAGGTAAGCCGAAAAGAACTCATCACCAAGATATATGAACATGCTGGTAATAGCCAGCCAGCCCAGACATGGAAACTGAGGCAGTCTAAACAGAAGTCAGCACCTGCAGACAGGCAGCACAGCCTGACCTGCTCACAGAGGTCTCATCCACTCGCAGGTATGTCTGCTAGAAAATACAATTGTCTGCAGCCAGATAATGAAGAGACTGTGAGCCCCACACCCTGGGGCCCGTGTGTGTAATCCTGGGCTGCACCAAGGGCACCGATTGTTTTGCCCACAATTCAGTCACAAAGGATTTTCTATTCCACATGGCAGAGCCACTGGTCACACTGCATCCACGGACAACATGGAAAGCCACAAAATGTAGCGCGTGGAAGTTATTTTACTTCCTTTGTAACAAGGTAGACTTTTAAAAAGTGTATAATTGTTACATCTCTGTCTCCTAATATAAGTTTTCAGGCCTGGGAAGCCTCACCGTTCTTTTCCTCACCAAGGGAAGCTTGTCAGCTGCTGTCACAAAACAGCTATTGGAACACCTCTGGAACCATAAAGGGCAAGGGAACCGAGGAGGCTTTTGGCCTGAAGGATGTCACAGCAGTCAGAGATCAAAGAGTCAGCCCATTTCCAGATTTATGAGTTGGGAATAGGTCTATTAACTCCCAGTACTCACTCTTTCCTGAGTATCTGTTCAATATACATTGATAGTTGTTGTAATGGGAAGTCTGACACTGAAAAACACCATGCTCCTGGGTAGTCTGTCTCAGTTTTGTCCTCACTAGCTCAGAATCAGATCCAGGTGGGGCAGTCCTAGAAGCACCCCAGATGGGATCCCCTCATTTCCCTCCTGCTCCATCTGGCAGTGTTCTCTCACTTGTACAGCCATTCTGGGGGTATTGGTAACCCACAGGTAGGAATCCTAGATTTGGATTGAAAAAACCCAACCAACAAACCCCAACTGTTGTTACTGTACAGTTAATTTAACTTGTATTAATTCCCTGATCACACTGTGTGGACTGACACATGCTCAGCTAAAGGGAGGGCATCAGGACAGGGGTGAACAGTGAAGGGGCCTGTGGTGCTAGCAGCTCCTTAAGCCTGGGCTGCTGCTGAAAGAAAAACACATGTATGTGTGCGAAAAAATACATTTCCTCAAAAATCTGCTCTGTCTGGCAAACTTAACCAACCTTAATCAAATCCTAGAAACTATATCTTTATAATGGCATAATTCCAGAAGCAGAATTAAATCCTTCAAAAAAGAAACCTCTGCTATGTTTTCCAGGAATATTATTTGATGTAAAATACAACAAAACATTCATCATGTAAATATAATCTGGAATAATTCTCCTTTGCTGCCACCTGTGGCATCTTCTAAATCTGCATGGAATCTGCAGAGCGATTCAACCCTTCGTGAGTTTTTTCACTATAGACCCTAAATAATGCTGACTGTGCCTTCTGGATCACCACTCACTTGTGCCCTTTCTCACCACCCTGACCTCTCATTACACTGCTAATTGAGAACGTTGTACAAATCTCATGACTGCTGCCTGCAGACTACAGCCTATGATTTTGGGAACAACCTAGAAACTTCAGGTATGAAAGCACCTGGATTGCTGCACATGTAAAAGCACAAAGGTACAAATGTTTTAGGAACAAAACTTCCAAGAACAGCTTTTAACAATTTAAACATGATTTTCTGTACAAAGTAACTTTTCTTGGGAGACAGTTGTAAAAAGTAAAATGAGGACAAACCATTTTAAATGCATTGGTGCTGTTGGGGTGTGCAGGTAGTGTTTCAGCACGAGACCTCTCTGTCTGGGAATCAGTAATTGCAGCAGCACAAGTGTGATGTGCAAAGGCATTAACAAGTGGTGGAAAAGGTGGAAAGTGGCAGACACCAATGTCTGCCTCTGCCCTCTCTGAGCTGCTGTGTCTCTCCAGGTGCATTTAACTTGCATCTTAAAAAGAAAGATGTTTTTGCAGCAGCAGGCACATCAGGCAGCTGCACACCACCCGCACAGCTGGCAGCGAAGCACTGCAAGCGGAGCAGTAGCAGCCACTGGGAAGAGATAACTTGTGTTTGCTTTATGTCTCACGCCATGCACGATCCATTACTCGCCAAAGCAGTCAGTTGCTTGAGAGCATCTACCCCCATACCAATAGCTGGAGAGAGTAAACTCCATAACCCTATCAGCCCAGATGTTGTATCACATACAACCCAGCCGCTGCTCTGGGTTCTCTCCGGGGTGCCAAACTCCCAACACCCAGTTGTTTTGCGTGCGGATGCAAAGCCCGCTCCCCTCTCCCTCCTGCTGTCCATGTTTCGGGCGGGGAGTCGAGGGCTGCCAGCCATCACCCACCCCCGTCAGGCACGCATAGGGCATCACTGTGTCCTCTGGGCTGAGCAAGGCAGGGGCCGCCCCAGGCGAGCACCCCACCGGCAGCCTGGGGCGCGGGGCCCGGCGGGG